TTAGGGTGTTGGCGTCAGGGCTTGGCTTTTAGGATTTAGATTTGCTAGGCTTTATAGTGCTGAGGTAGGGTTCGGAGAAAGCGAGGATTTTTGTAGAACACTTTTGGAGGCAGATGTTACCTTGCCACTTGAAGCCCAAGAGACAGAGGCCTAACTGAACACAATATTTTCCACAGGGTCTCGCATTTTTGTTACTTACAAGTATAGATAGAATTTATTCCAGGAAGTCGAAAGGATAGTATTACCCTTGGCTAGGCGCTAGCTGTTCTAGGACGGATCAGGATTATCTTCCTGGGAATGAAGCAATGGAGGCTTACGGTTCGGATAGAAGATCTAGAGTCTAGGTAGCCCAATTGCTGATTCCATAGGGTTTAGGGTTGTACCTGGCATTTGGGACCCCTAGTAAGGCTTAAGCCTTAGGTACCTATAACAGGAGTATAAGGGAATCCCGAGGGGTAAAGGGCCTAAGGTCCCAAGGAGGGCTTAGGCTTTGAAATGTGGCCGCGGCCCGGAACTCTCCGAAAAAAACAGTTGGCCTGGTTAATCATTGGGGGCTTGGAGTAAGCATAGATTGAAAGGTGGGTTTTGAATAAACATTCAGAACCTATCGTCTACTATAATCCTTAATTATGGTAAGAACTCCTAAGATTGAACAGGGATTCCTAACTTTCGGCAACGCCAAAATCTTTCAAGACATCCCTAGAAACTTGACTGAACCAAAATGCTGAGAGCTGTTCCGCTTGCTTGAAAAAAGTTGTTACAGAAACAGTTCTAGGTTGTAGGGTTTAGTAGAAACCGTTCCAAATAGAATCGAGGAGCTGTCGTCAGCGCGAATCCAGAGAATAGAGGATCTATAGGGCGGATTCTTGGATGTATCATCGCCCCAGCGAGGGTAGTTGCCTTGATCATCAACATGCGACTTCCCGACGTAGTGGATCTTGTTGCCGACCTGCACCCAGTCTCTTCCACCCAGGGATCCGTCGGGTCGCGTGACAGCAGCCCATTGATCTTCGCCAGGGTAAATTGCCCCATTCTTATCCAGGAAATCTTGAGCCTCACGCAGACCCAGTAAGCGCCCGCCCTTCTTCCGAACGTGGGCCTCTGAGTCCTGAACAGGAAAATCACCAAATTAGTGGTCCTGGCCTTTCGTTCCAAACGCAGCAAGGCATATCAAAAGTGACGGACACGGCTCGGGACCCCGGGATGTGTCTGAACAGTGTAAGGCTGCGCAGCACTATCCCCGAACGAGACTAGAATTGGGCCCTAAACCCGCAACCCTATAGTAACTTCGACCCACCTTTGGGGGCATTCAAAATTGGGGTCCTTGTGGTGAGGACGTGTAACGCGTTTTAGGGTTTAGGGTGATATCTTCGGTTTTATTCAGGGGGACCTTTTCAACCCTAAACCCTAAGCCCTAAACCGTCTAAATCCCATATCCTTTACTTTAACTCCCACATGAGGTAACAGCAAAATGTGCTTGCATGATGCCTTCCAAGTCAGGATCACGCCAGGCTTGGCCCACTGTGGCCCTGGAACAGCTTGGGAGCCACCTGCAACAGTCAGGACAAGATGTGAGCCCTGGGCTAAATTTAGGGTTTAGGGTTTAGGGTAATTTGTAGTATATCCCTTAATAGGTCCCCCCCAAACCCTATAAAGTCCCCTATAGGTCCCCCCGGTAGTTTCCCAAAATTAGGAGATCCTAATGAGGCCCCCATAGGTTATGATCCTTATCATAGGGACTCCCAAAAAAGGTACCCCTAGTTTTGGGAAACCCTAAACTCTAGAGCCTGTATAACAGTATCAAACCTAATGATATAACCATATACAACCCTATATACCACCCATAATTTTGGGAAATCCGAGTAGGAGCAACGATTGTGCAATCCAAAGGACGGCAGTACCACCGTAATAGTGGATCAGTGACTTCAAAACCCCAACCCAGGATTTGCCCAGGTGGGGTCAACAATACTCATACTTATGGAATTGTCATGCTGACTCTTCAAACCCTAAACCCTAAATCATTACCTGTCATTCATAGCAGCGCTCAAATGCAGGACGTGGGCAAACACACAACATGCCCCCAAAACCTGAAACCCTGCACCCTAAACCTACATATGCCCTAAACCCTAAACCCTCTATACACTGTTATTATAGTAGTTTCGATATTCTTTTCCATTGTCCCCATATCACCCCAATATTACCCCAATGGGTACATCTTGGTTCCCCAACCTTCTTGACTCAAAATCCAAAGAACAGAGTGACTGTGGGGTGGACTGCCCGAGGCATCGTCGCCCCATTTGGGGTAGCCGCCGCACTCGTAAACGTGCGACTTCCCAACATGATGGATCTTGTTGCCGACTTGCACCCAGTCTCGGACACCATCTGCGTGCGTGACAGCAGCCCACTGATCCTGGGTTGCTGTTAAGGAACTTAACTTAAGTTACTATATTGGGGAAACCCTATTATTTACTATATATCCCCATTATGGTAA